TGTTCTACGTCCGATTTCACACATAACGCTAGATCTTGCAGTGATCGAAAAAATTGAACATTAAAATTGACTTAATCTTAGTGTAAATCGGTAACTGAGAGAATACATACAACTAAATAAACCGGCTAACCACGATACCAAGTCTATAATAACACATAACTGCACATGCGTACATATGATGAAACAAACACGCCGTCTCATCGAGATTATCTTTTGTGCTCCGACGTTCCATTCGTTGTTTTTTTTACAGCAAAACTGGACTGATTTGCATCGCCTTTGACACGTGTTCTCCCTTTAGACGGTCAGGGCAAGGTCGGCACCCCATCCTATCGGAGTTCAATCCCGTTTGAGCCAGCTCGAGCTGAACGATTCAACAGAGTCGTTTGTGCTTGCTGGAACTATCGTGTAAACGAAGTAGCATAAGTGATGACATTAACATACAGCTCCCGGTAAAGAAAGTAACACTGTGAAAAGCAGATGTGTTAACCCAGCACCTCCTAGGTCTCCTCAAATTAATTGTGGTGTAATTGTTGTTCCTTTGAACCAGTGATCTTCTGTGAATACATTTGCGATCGACCTTTAGATTTAGATATTTATAGTTCATAATCCGGAAAGCATTTAATAACCTCTGTGTATATGTATATTCACTACATCCTAGACGTAGAAGCCTTCTAACGGAGTGACATCGTTTACTCAACCAATCCATCGAAAATAACACAAATATCTAATGAATATATCTATTTCTCTGCTCTGGGTTATAGTGGTCGGAGTATATGGCCGCCAATTTATGGTGAGTTTTTCTAATAGAGATATCTATATGCTATGCATCCACGGGTAGGCCATTTATTTTTAGCGTTGTCATACACTATACACCAGCGTCTTTTTACTTTATGTATGTTCTGTCAACAAATGTGTAAATGGTTCGTTTGATTTACAACAATTTTAGGGATGCCACTTGCCCATAGGAGATTTGTAGGTATAAATGTCCACCCTCATAATGTATGCGATGGCTCAGTTTAGTATCAAGACATTTTTTTTATCACTAGCGAAACGTTTCTATGGACAACTACCGGAACAGCCTAGAGAGTACTATTATTTTTTCGCCGTTCACTCCTATACATTGCCAGTTCAGTGTTATATATATATTGATCAAGTTGCCAACCCTGATTTTAGTTTATTGTCTACCTGATGTTTTTTTATATATCCAACATACCTACTGGTTGAAAACCTGCATGACGCCATCTTTTGGAGAAAATTTAAATATTTAAGATGGCTGCTTTGCTGCAATAATGTATATGGGGCCATATTATGGCTTAGATCTTTTGCAGGATGATAATTTCGGCGTCAATGTCAAAGGGTTCAACAAATCTCGTTTATGGCTTTCTCAGATGAGTCCAAATATTATTTCTGTGACACAATCGAGCTGGCATCTTAAGTGCCTTCCAGTAGTACATTTGCCACTAAACGTTACGCACGTGTGTTTAGATCATTACAATGATTATGAGATCATTGGATGTGTTTTAGGGCGGTGAGTTTATCAATACGAATAATAGGTGTAATACATTGAGTAGCGAATATAATAAACAAATAACAAACTATGTTAAGTATGGAGATAACGTGACTAAACAACGATAAAAATACCCACTTATTTGAAAACAAATGATACTCACTCATTGAAAATATAATAAATCATTTTGTTGGATAAATGTACAATACAAATGTACAGTACAAAATAAAACGCAATGAAACATCATGCTTTGCTTCAACGTCTCAAAATTGAAATTATAACAACTAATATGTAGTAAAAATAAAACAAAATAAACTAATAAATTGATGGCATATTTTATATTTTATTATTATAGCATAGTCATAATATTACTTGCCTGATATTCAAATACAATCACAAGTGCATGGTTTGCTGGAAATTAGAATATGAAACATACTTCACTTTGGATTTTGATTTTATTGTATTCCTAAATTTGTAAGGCAGTCAAATTTTCGGTATAGCATTATTTTGTATCAGTGTTGTAAATACATTTGAAACTTTTTGAACACGTGCTATTAACAAATATAATAGAAGTAAATACCGCGATTTCAATTTATTATGGGGTGATTGATATCACACTCTATAAAAGACAACATCATAGTTGTTTATATATTAATTTAGACAACTCCTTATCAGAACCTCTATACTCAACACAAGCTATGCAAGTCATCTAACCACAACTTTGTGAGAACATTTCAATCTTTCTGAATAAAAAAGTGACTGGTAAATAATTTTACCCGTTTCCATTCTATTCAATGTATTCTATAATGATCTAACACTTTCAATTAATAATTCTGTTGTTCCATCTGTTTTTCCAACATGATATAGTATTAAGTATTACCTTCTTATTGTTAAGTATGTCAGCGATGTTGATGATATTTATAAATAAATATAAATTATTAATTGATGATATTTAATCGTTTGTTGGACGTTGACATGCTAAGAAGTATATATGACTGGTGCTCATTACCAAAGGCACTGATAGGAAAGTCCCGAACATATGCGTAATGAGATACCAGTAATGATCAGTAATCAATCTTGACTCAGACGTTTATGAATCTGTTTCTGGTAATTCAACTCCTTTAATGGGAAAGTATACAAGATATTTTGTCTAAAAGTAAATGAAACGAATACCCAGCTTCTCTTCCATCAACATTTTACCTGTACGGGTCTATTTTTTAGGTAGCCAATTTTCAATAATCGATATTATTAGTGATTACAGGCAGATTGTAATTAACTTCTTCTGTAAATATAATGCGAGATTATAAGACTCAATGTTCTGAAAACAATGGAATTGAACAAATGTTTTGAAGATTATTTAACTCTACAGGAATATACATGACATATAACCACGCAGGTTTAACACCACTTTTGTAAAACAATATTTTCTATCCAAATTAAATGATTTTCAGAGAGATTGAAAGGTGTACTCATGATATTGTTCGTTCTTTGATACGTGCCTTGAACTTGACATTATTGAACTATCTCTTATCTATCAGGCATACATTCCTATGTCATGAATTTGTTTTCGCGTATCTGTTAACCGACTTAATTAGTTGATTATTAGCTGAATTGCTGTGTTATGTCTGTCATCGTTTAGGCCTATTTGAAGTTTTGGACGGAACTTCGCTCAGTGATTTGGAACTAATTACCAGATATCCGTCGCCATTCTGACTATCGATTTTGACAGTTTATATCCATAGTTATTAATGTAGTGAACGATTAATCAAAAGATATGACGTATTCAGTGCTTAGTGTGATTGGCTTTATGATTGCAAGTTACGCCCTAGAGTCTTTTTACTGCTTTGTAATTGGTTAGAGTTTTGAAAATGAATAAAGAGAGTTTGAGTTGGTCTTGGCGAATACTCCACGACAGACGCAGTCGAGAGCAGTCCTGGAGAGCCTTGGGGCGAGTGTTGACGCAGTCTAAAAGAGTCTTGGGTCAGCCTTGCGATAGTCTTGGGGACTTTTCCCCAGGGCGCTGTGTCTTATAGAGTGCTCGATTGACCGACTAAGACGAGAGCTGAACCGTATTTCGTTGTGTGTGTCTTATTTGACTGTAAAGTATAAGTGACTTTCCCGATCCCGTACCTCAAGGGGACGAGATATAGAGACGAGACGAGATTCCCCCCTGACAAGTGTGGAGAACCCGAGAGTAGGAGATATTCCACCTGATACGTGAGTGGAGATCCCAGGCAGGTGTTTAACACACATTGACATCCTGTGAAGAAAAGTGAAATGACGAAGAGGTGTCTTTCTTGTGAACCGAACTAACTGGCTCGATGGCAGAGACGAAACTGCGCTTGACGACTAACGGCTTTACCCGAACGACACCAATGTACAACGCTGAAGAGATGAAGACTCCGAAGCCCCTTCGGAAGGACGAGTATCGTATAGGACTGAATAATTAAGAATTGTGCGACATTAAAGACAAGATGAAGAAAAAGAACGACCCGGACTAACGCGACGACAAGAGGAGACGCTTATAGACTTTGATTAGAACTTTAGCTATTTCCTTAGAGAACCGCTCGTTGGACACTGTAACTGACACTGTATAACTCAGGATGTTGAACTCTTTTCCACAATCACAACACTATTGCTCAGTAATGTAATGTATTGCTTGCTTTTCCTATCTTTTTTCTTACCGTTTTTTTTGTGGTGTTGAATTGTATGTACATGAGCGCCCAGATTTTTGTTTCGAACTGATATTTAGTGACATGCGAGGTCCTTTATAACGATTTAAGCGCGTTTCAGTGGACAAGTATTTGCAACACAGTGTATTGAGTTTTGTGAAGTTTATGGTGTTTTAATGAGTTTATGAGTACGGATTATGATGAGGAGAAGTAATGCCCCAATGAGTTTTTCAGAGTTTTGAGATTTGTCGAGTACAGAGATACCGACGTTTTAAGAGTTGTTTTTGTTTATGTGTTGTTTCCGGAATACTTCTGACGCTTTTTGAGTTTATAGCACCTTTGTAACGTTTTTTAATGTCTTTTTGAGATAGGAGTATGGTGCGCTTATATGTGTATTGTTTGATATCGCAAGCTTTTGTTCATGATTGACAGGATTATATGTAACTTAGTAGTTTCTATTGTTTTGCTTTTTCCCGTCTTTTTGCCAGAGGAGTAATATGTGTTATGAAAGCGACATTGTCTTTGCATTCTGTTTCCATGCCGTATGACTTTTGTTTAGATTAACGACTTGTGAGTTCAGTTGAAGTTTATAAGCATGTGTGACAGGAGTTTGATTAATAGCTTTTTATTCATTGTTTATTAGTTACCGCTTTGCAATGCTTTAACCGAGAGACGCATCCCTGGTAATCACGTGATCATGCTGTCGACTGCAGCGATTGGCTGATCGCTTGGTTACACCGCCACGCCTTAGTTTTTTTTGACCTTTTGATATAGAGTTTGTAACCTTAGTAACGGAGACAGTGCAGCGAAGAGTTACCTCAATGGACCGTTTGAGAAAAGTGAGTCGTTTGGTAGCTTTTCCCTTGTTTTTGATTCATAGCCGTTGATATTTGAGACATTATAACCATTGTATTTAGACTTTATAATCATTGTACTTAATTAGTGTGTTTTACTCTTTTTGATTTATACCTTTTCTTAGTATTGTATTTAACCTGTATGACGATGAGTAGATGACGGTATCTTTGATTTATGAACGTGTTATGCCAGGAGGCACAATCTCAGTTTGGGAGAAGGGATGTGTCATGAATTTGTTTTCGCGTATCTGTTGACCGACTTAATTAGTTGATTATTAGCTGAATTGCTGTGTTATGTCTGTCATCGTTTAGACCTATTTGAAGTTTTGGACGGAACTTGGCTCAGTGATTTGGAACTAATTACCAGATATCCGTCGCCATTCCGACTATCGATTTTGACAGTTTATATCCATAGTTATTAATGTAGTGAACGATTAATCAAAAGATATGACGTATTCAGTGCTTAGTGTGATTGGCTTTATGATTGAAAGTTACGCCCTAGAGTCTTTTTACTGCTTTGTAATTGGTTAGAGTTTTGAAAATGAATAAAGAGAGTTTGAGTTGGTCTTGGCGAATACTCCACGACAGACGCAGTCGATAGCAGTCCTGGAGAGCCTTGGGGCGAGTGTTGACGCAGTCTAAAAGAGTCTTGGGTCAGCCTTGCGATAGTCTTGGGGACTTTTCCCCAGGGCGCTGTGTCTTATAGAGTGCTCGATTGACCGACTAAGACGAGAGCTGAACCGTAATTCGTTGTGTGTGTCTTATTTGACTGTAAAGTATAAGTGACTTTCCCGATCCCGTACCTCAAGGGGACGAGATATAGAGACGAGACGAGATGCCCCCTGACAAGTGTGGAGAACCCGAGAGTAGGAGAATTACCCCCTGATACCTACATTCCTGTTGGGGCATGCATTACATATGCAAATTATTGGAATGAACATTGACTTCTTTCGTCCAAATTGTTCAACATTTAAAACTTGTCAATATCCTGTTGTTGTGGCAGTAAATATGAATTCGCAAATGCAGGGTCATGTACGCCTAAGGCTAACATACATCAATTCAATAAATCATTTAAAAACTGTGCATATATAACAAATATAATAAATACATTTTATTTATTTCAAAGACTTTATCATTATAAAATGAAAAAAAATATGTATGATATATGACCACGACTTTTCCACTGATATCTGAAGAGCCATTCATTGGATTTTGATGAAACTAAGTACATATGCACAGATTTTATAAGCAGTGTATAAAAATCCATGAATAACTAATTTTCATAATGATTAGTTAATTTTCAGCTTTTCTCAAATACTAATCATCACATTTAAATGAAACTTGGTACATATATGTCATGGGGGGGGGGGGCAATGCACAACCCTGACTGGGTTTAGTTAATATCCGAGCATATTAATTACATAATTTAAAAATGAGTCAATATTCAGCTTTTTTGCTGATATGTGCGCTTTGGAACAATACATCTATAATATCTAAGTGTTATTAGCCCATTCCTGATATCTCAAAGTATCAGATTTAAATTGAATTTGTGGTAGAGGTGCTGTGGAATGAATTAGACTGAAAACCAGATTTGTTAATTCAAATTTTCTGTATGTATTATAAATTTCGATAATGTGAATCATATTGTTTTCATGTTGTGCATCTCAAATAGCATACAATAATTAGTTGTCAAGTTTCTTGTTTCAAATTTGAAAGACTAATCTTAAATTTTGAATTTCGATTGTCTCCAAAGTTCCCAGCACACATGAGTTCTTTCTCAGCTTTCTTTGTTTCAAAATCTTGGTTGAATAATAATTTTAATTTAATAGAAAAACACTTTTCTATACGTTCCATTACTCAATAGAATTTTCTAATACGCATGTGCACTAATATTTTGGTGCGTACAATTACTTCTATGCGTTTCAGTATTTTCAAACAAACTAGTAATCAGTTTGAACGTGTATTACTACAAAAATAGTGTTTATATTGCACCTTCAGGTAATAGAACATAATAGTCATCTTATTTTCTCAATATTCCAGAAATTCCAACCCGAGCCCCCAGAGGAGAGAGAGTCCCCGGGTGCAATAGAGTCTGATATTATGTTAACGCACAAACAGAAAGTAATACTCAAGGAAATACGAATACCAGGCAATAGAGTCAAACGAAAGGCGATTGCATATCTGACCAGTCGTTGGCCAGACGGGATTGTTCCTTATGTGATATCGGCTAGCAGTAAGTAAAACGTCCTAATTAAGACTAAGCATGTATAATGCATGAATGAATACTGTATTGCTTTGCTTGCCATGTGGTAAAAAACGGTAACATGGAAATAATGAGAGAAAAACCGGCAGTGTTATGTCTCCTCGCCATATTCCCAACCCGGAGTGCCACAAGTTCGGAAAGTGGGCAGCATTTTATTTAAGGGCGGCAGTCGTCGCGCCGCGCATGTGCGACATTTGTGTTGATAAACATTGCTTTTCCCACAATGCAATCGCCCTTCTAATTGAAGTATGAGGTTTGACCTGGGCGCGACTTGCATTAATTACCGCTGGCGACTCCTTTGATATCTTCCAATCACCTAAAAATACCTAATTAAAGCTTGGTAACGTCTCAGTTTCTACTCGTTGATCTACGCAACAGTCAAAGTCGTCAGCGTTGTTTATATGAGACCCAAATATCTCGCGCATGCGTGGCGCGACGACTAACGCCCTTTGGATAAAAATCGATAAAAGAGTTAAAGTCGCATTCCCCTTGGTGCTGAGCTGACACCTACTACCTAAACTCACGTTGACCCGAATCGTGGCTGCTTTTATGTCTTCTCATCCAAGTGACTAAATATGATTCCTTCAAAGCCTTGTAATATGGCAACAGCATGAATTACTTTTATATGTATTTATTTGCAAGGTTCGCCGGATACTGGCGTCATCATGGAGGCGATGAGGTACTGGGAGTCATTAACCTGTGTTCACTTTGTACCATACAACATATCTGGGGGTGACGCCCGTGGTCATCATGCTCGAGTAAGATTCATCAAAGGTGATGGGTAGGTATTTCGAATAAAAACCATCTTACATTTTTAAGGTATCATGTTCCAGCTTACTGTACCAGCAAAGTACCCACAAGGAAGTGGCGTGCGTTATTAAATCGTGGTTCAACGGTACTAGTTGCTCACAAAAACACGACATATTTGAAATGTTAATATTTGTAACAGAA